CTTCTATACAACGAAAGGAGACTGCGACCACACAAAAGGCCACACCATCTTGGTCTTCATATCTTATATCAAAGTTAATTTATAAAATTGAGGCTAGGTCGCATTTCGTTTGATGTTTGGGGATTTTGTTGAGAAATTACTTCTCTCCTCAGGCTAAAGATAATCTCGAATTCATTGGGGTCAAAGACTCGTACATCAACTACCAATATTTAGATTCCCAAAGTTGATTTTTTTGTCAAAATAAGTCTTGTACGTGCTCTCCAACCTTCTCTCCTCCCTTTACGTCTAACACGCATACTAACTGTTCCAGTGACTGGATAGCTATTGGAGACAGACGCGGACGAATTAGAATTTTATGGAGCTCTGGAGACTGGATGTGTCCACCTTTTTTGGTCGGATCTCCGGTTTTTTGGCTTTGCAGTCAAAAATCTCTTGATACGGTTCCTACCTCGTCATCGGAGCCCCCTTCTAGAGGTATAAATGAACACGCCTGTCTGGATGCATTACAGCAGCAGCATAGTTCTGCTATTATCTCTGCTTCTGCTTCAACTATGCCCCAAGCAGATCTTCATAACTGGCTGGCCGTGCTCACGCGTTCCGGCCGGCTGATAGTCTGGCGCTGGCGCCAAACAGCCTCTGCTGCGTCTTCTCAGGACTTATTTGCCTTGAGGGAGATATCATTGCCACCCACTTTGATTGTCGAGACTGAAATCACTCCAGTTTTAAAGAGTAAGTGTTTCGGTGTGTTTTTTGTTTTCTATACACCTAGATTTACAATCCTTAATACATATTTTTTCAGCTGTAAGTAATTAACCTTTTTGTGAAAACTATACTCTATTTCAATTTAATAATAATTACTGTTTCGTTTGAACTTCCTTTCCATCCAGCTTTAGATATGTTAGGCCTATGTATCCATATATAGCAAAAGTTTCAGATAGAAACCGAATTGATTGTACCATTATTTCTTTGGTATACAATGAGCACCTTTTGGCCATGTTAGTGAAGGGTTAATTAACTTATATATGTTCTCCGGTCTCGAAAGTCACTATGTATCTCGGGAAATGAATTATTTCATGGGATAACGGCCTTTGATAGACTGGGATGATTAAAAAATTAGGTTGGCACTTCTTTTGATTCATAAGATCGTTCAAATTTAACTAGGGAACTGAACAAAACAAAGTATTACGAGGTAATGAACTGAAGAAATTAATTTTGATTAGAATTTTGCAAAAATCAAATATTGTATTTAAATAATTTGGACTCAGCAAATTATTATCTCATATAACGAATATAAAACACGAGTTTTTGGTATATTTATTCTGTGGAGATCTTTTCTTCCATCGATAAAGATTAGGCTTTCTTACTCTAGTTGAATATATGAAGACCAAGATGTTGTGGCCTCTGATGTGATCGCAGTCTCCTTTCGATTGA